TCTTTAATTCTTTCTAGGGTCCATTTTTTAAAAAAAAAAATCTTACCATATGTTTAAAAATAAATAAAAGTAAAGTATTTTCCCATGGGAAATGGGATTATTTACAGTTAATCCCATAATCTTCTTTCAAGTTTATTTTGATTCTTAGTCCATTTGTAACTTTCTAATATCAAAGTTTTAATCACATTTTTGCTATTTATTCCAAAAGATTTTAAAGTTCTTAAACTTGTAGTTAAAAAACTTTTTTTGCAGAGTATTGAAGAAAAACTCACCCAGTACTATCAAATATGCCAATCCAAGGTTTCTAATAGCTGAAAAGAAGTTAATAACAATAATTGGAAAAAGAAGCATGAAAATGTAAGATCTTTTCAAAGGGATCAACCTAAGTTGGAGCAAGATGACTATTGCTTCTTCTCCTTGAAGTTTCAGCCTACCTGAGTGTTCTATCTTGTGGTCTCCTCATAAGAAGCAATTGCATGGATGATCTCAAGTTTTCTTGTCCAGAGAGATTTGAACAAAGTTCTTCATTCTTTGCTGAGAACATCTTCCATCTCCCTTTTTTTTTTCTAGAAATCCCTTTCACAATCTTTATTGTAATTATTAACTTGTAGGATTGCTGATTTGGATCCTGGAGGATAGATAACTCCATATAGAATCATATTGTTCCCAGAAACTTTCATTAAATCAGTATAATTTACATTAGCCCCCACTGATTCCCTGCCCTTTCCTTCCCCACAAAACTAATTTTATTGGACAAGTGGACTTGATATGCAAAGAGAGTAAAGGATCAGAAAAAGAAATCATACTTGATGTAAGAGAAAATCTGTACTCTTGATTGTAAATGATGCTAATAACATGTTTATTGTTCCACTGGTGGCATTCAATATATAGTCTAGGTTTCAGTCTCTTTGATTTGTATCGTTTGACATTTGTTGTAGCCAAGACAGTGATTTAATCTTTTGTTAAATGAATTAAATAATAAATACTTAAATTAAATGAATGTATCCCCTGCTCCCAATGTTTCTCAAATGCTAGCTTGTTGGTGTGCATGCTTCCATTCATAGTTCTTTACCTTCTTGTTGTTTAAGCTTTCTACAACTTGACTGTGATCTACTGTGAGCCAAAAGCTTGGTTAGTGTTGCATGTTCATTTCTGAAGATGATTAACAACACTGGTGATATACTGTGAGTCATATCTCTAAAACACAAAGGATCAGGAGAGTTTTTTTTTCCAAAATGTTATTACAACAGTTAGGGAAGAAGCATCCACTAAAAATATTCATATTTCTAATAAGATAAGCTCCCACTATTTTCCCCTCTTTTAGTTCCAAAATAGAAAATTGGATATTACACAGTAGGTAATTGAAAATTGCTTCAAATAATTATTTTTTAGGTATTTCCATCAATATGGAATTAAGTCATTAAGTATGTATTGTGTGATGATTAAATTATCATCCCATTGCTTAATCTCATTTTACCTTGTCTCTTTCTGTGTGTGTATATCTCAAGGCTTGACACTTTCACCCTCCTATTTAACATCTACATGAGGTTATTGGGGAAGGACATACATCCGTTTGGAAGATCATACATCAATTTAGTATGGCAAGGATAGTCAGATGAATATTTTGACCCCTTACCAACCAAACAATCCTATCAAAATTTTGTCACAGAGTCTGGGGTTTTTTTTTTTGGAGGAAGTGGATGGGAGTCTGAAGGTCTGAATGGGGAGGAAAAATCTCAAGATCAGGCTTACAAGACCAGGCAACTTTCAGTTTTCTGTCTTGGTTCTGGAGATTTCCCACCTTTAATTCTCTGTAGGAATGCACTGCCTACTCAAACCTTGCACAAATTGGGGGACCTTCCTAAATTCTATACTCCTGCTTGACAAAGGACTTTGCACAGGTTCAGTTTATATTCCAGTTGTGCCCGTTCCTGATTAGAGAGGAGCCCCTCATTGTTGCTAATGCTTACAGTTGGACTACTACAACCTGTTTTACATCAGGATGCCCTTGAAGAATAATTAGAATATGCAGCTGGTACAGAATACAGTAGCATGAGCAGTGATGGGCAAGCATTCTTGTAGCCATGTAGCAACCCTATAACAATGGTTCTTAGTTGGTTTTCAAAGTCAATCCAAGATACTGTTATGACATATAAAGCTCTCCATGGTATGGGGCAGGGGTGTCAAACTCATGTCATCATGATGGCATCACATGATGTATCATGACTTTTCCCCCCTTTGCTAAACCGGGCATGGTCATGGTCAGTGTGTGATGCATCCGGCCCATGGGCTGGGAGTTTGACAACCCTGGTATAGGGTCTAATAACTTGAAGGACTGATTGTCTCCCAGGGTATCTATTCATCCTATTTATTCAGATAGTAGTATCCTGTTCTGGGTCCATTGATTAATCAGGCCCATCTTCGAGGATCATAGTATGGACTATCTCTGTCACTGCACTTACTCTTTGAATAGTATTGCGCTGGAAATCCACATGGCTCTCATCTTGTCTTCCTTGTGGTATCTCCAGTCAGACAGGTTCTTTTAGTGCTGTTGAGGTATGGTGTGTGTGTGTGTGTGTTTGTGCGCACACACACACACATGCATGAGTGTGCATATTTTGGAGGTTTCCTTCTGTATGGCAGTTAAATTTTATGCTCTCTTTTTTATATATATATATTTTACTGTGTTTTTAGTCTGTGGAGCCATCCAGAATCATCTGGCAGTTGGCAGCCTAAAAACATGACTAATAAATAAATAAAGCTTTATTTGTTCCATAAACCCTCCTGGGCTTCATGTTTTGTACAAATTTTATGCAGCATCATTTTCCCAAAATATTTTTAAATTTTTATTTTCCAGAGTTCAATGTTTACAAAATAGCTTTGGTTTTTGATTCCCAAAGTACTATACTTGTTTAAATTCTGTTGTAGTAAACCAACAATTAAAATTTGAAAGTAATCATTCGTATTTGTGTGTAACTTTTTTGTGTGTAAGCTTGCTTTTAGATTCATCCCCCCCACACACACACACTAATCCTGTCTCAATTTATTTCATATCCTATCTGTTGTTGTTGTTCAGTCACTAAGTTGTGTCTATCTCTTCACAACCCTTGTGCATGCCAAGCTCACCTGTTCTTCGTTGTCTCCCAGAGTTTGTCTAAATTCATGTTCATTGCATCGTTGACATTATCTAACAATTTCATTCTTTTCTGTCCCTTCTCCTTTTGCCTTCAGTCTTTCCCAACATCAGGGTCTTTTCCAACGAGTCCTTTCTTCTCATTTGATGGCCAAAGTGTTTGAGCTTCATTTTCAGTTATCTGTTCTTTCAAAGAACAGTCAGGGTTGATTTCTTGAACTGATCTCCTTGCAGTCCAAAGGAGTCTCAAAAGACTTATCCAGCCTCACAACTCGAAAGCATCAATTCTCCGGTGCTCAGCCTTTCTTATGATCCAACTCTCAAAACCATAGACACATACACACAGAGAGACACTAACATAAATTGGAAGTGTTTTGCATGACCGTGATTTCAATCTATCAGCTTTAAATCAATAATATGATTCCACATTTGAAGATAAATTAATTCATTTGTTGAGAGTATAAAGGTTCCTCAAATACCTCCAGATGCAAACACATATAGTTATGGAGAGGCCAACTAACTTGCAAGACCTCTAAATTGTGAGAACCCTGAATATATAGTATTAGTGAACAAATAGTTGATATAAACATTGGATTATTAGTGGAATCCCAGTTCCCTTGTTAATTCGTGAAAGAAATATTATACAAATCACTATGTTATCATTCCACATTTCAGACATTCTTGCTTTTTTCCAAGACTTTGGGTCTAAGATTTTTCATGTATCTTTCTTTTTCAAACAACAACAACAAGACAGTCTTTCATATACCAGAATCAAATAGCTTTGTTGGAATAAGTATTCATATGAATTATGCTATCAAAATAACAGTTGGTTGTCTTAAACATAAAGAATCAGCATATCAAAAATGAATGATGCAATGGAGATGATGACAGTTCTGAGTGCAGCAATTCTCAAATAATTGTATGTTATAAATCTCAATGAAATTAATTATTGCCTGTAACAAATAAGATCTAATTCTGTTTGTGTTAATTAGAGGTACTTGTGCTGATATCATAGATTCTGAATCTCTGGTTTCCAGTGTGTTACTCGTTTTTCAATCTCCACATTCCATCTGCTCTCAATATTCATTTTTGAACTGTTATTGCCATTAAAGTAACATTAATTGTGAATACTATTTTCTTAACATATGTATAGTGATAATGAAACAACTTGTGAAGGGGCAAAAAAAAAAAAAAATCCAGGCTGTTAGTCTGAAATGAAATTGCAACTTACTGCTGTATGGCAGATCAGTATAAAAGATATTATACGACACATGGTGCTTTGCTTAGCTTCCAAATTATGCATTATGTGGCTGAGCCACAGTTTACCTTCTAAAGTTTTAAAGTAATTGAAATTTAGCTGTGAGGAATCTTTTCTTACCAGGAAAAGTGATTAAGACTTTTGTCCCTATTCCACTGATTTAAATTTGAACCACCCCACCCCATAAAGTTGTTTGCTTGGTAATGTGCAAATTGTCATTGTTTAAGAAACTAACAATCTATAGAAGTCAATTTGATTGAAGAAATAGGACTGTGGAAAAATTCATCTCCTTGCCATTGTTCTGAACAATAATATGAGATAACAAACAATTACTTGTATGGCAAGCAGTGTGCAAAGTGGTTTGTTTAGCTATGGTTTATTCAATACACCTAGGGTAGAAAAAACAGCAGGACATAATCTATAGATTTAAAGATGCTATGATTGGATTCACAAAGCGCAATAAAACAAAGCTAAGCATAGTATGAGCTTAATGTGTGAATCATGGGCTATACATTAATACCTGTAATAGTGAATCATCAATGCAATTATTTTATTTTTCCTGAACTGTTTCTGAAATTCTCTCTAAGCCTAGTTTATTAATTGAAATAGGTGTATAGTCTGGACTGGGGATGACCGAGTCTTCTTCTTCAACCCTACAATGCAATTGTCAGTATGGGAGAAACCAGTGGATCTAAAGAACCGCGGTGATATTAACCGAATCATTGAAGACCCACCTCATAAACGGAAACTGGAAGCTTCAGCAAGTAACTAATGCTGTGATTATTTTTGTCTATTTAAACTTAAAGAGTATCTGAAAATGCTGGTCATTACATTTAAAATTCTGATTGTCAGTTTTGTGTTGGTCTTGATTGTGATTATTGGAAATTCTTTCGCAAAGTTTTGATTTCAGCAAGAGGTTTTGTTCATTAAAACAGGGGTGGGGATCAGGAATTCTGGGAGTTGAAGTTCATAAAACATAAAAGGACCATCGTTTTCCACCTGTGCTCTAAAAGGATAATAGCAATGATTGATGACCAGGTTATCTGATGGACAGCATAGTTTCATATAAACTAACTTTGCTATTGTGAGCATCTTCAGATCTTAGTCTTCATTTCTTCACCAGAAATATGCCATTGATAGTATAAAAGATCTAATCCTCTTACTGAAATTAACCTGTTCTTGAATCCTCTCTTTCTCTTAATAAAATAGTTCCTTCCTTTAGAATGAGGTGGGTAATTAAGATCTTTTTTACTTCATTTTATACCTCCAGAGTTTTTCTTTTATTTTGAAAGTAGGGTTTTTTTTAAAAAAAAGTTTCCTACATTAGCAGATTAAATTAGCTTTGTGGTCGGAAAAGCACTGTAAAATGTGTGGGTGTATGTACGATTATATATTTCAGAGATGCCTTAAGGGACATATCAAGCATTTGTGTTGAGTTATAAAAGAACAACTTCCACCATCCAGTTCTTGGAGGATTTTTTTAATGGATTATAATTCTGCCTTACATCTCTGGAAGGCTCCATTTATCTCCTTGAAAACCTGCCTAAATCCTCAAAGATTGAAAAGAGAAGGTTTTGAACTGTGCCCACTTTGATAGTTACCTGTGATCCCTGATTCCTTGTAGTCATTGTATTCCCTGTGTTCTTAGGAGTGGGTTCAAGTATTGTTGGACTTCTTGCACTTATCTGAATGTATACCCACATCCTGAAGATGTTTACATAGAAGTGTTCACTTCGTTTCAAAACAAGAACTGCCAAAGTGTGTGAATGGTTAGCTGAAATGCCCTCAGTTGTTAGCTATAGCTTTTTCTACCTTCGTATTTCACTTGTTTATATTACAAAAGCCTGTGCATAACTTGTTTCATCCAAATGTGATATTGACCATCCTGCCCAGGGGATCTGTCTTGCAATAAACTATTATTTAACCCAGCTGTAGGTAGCAAATCTCAAAGATCCATCTCACTGGATTGATGGAAGATTTGGCAGAAATGTAGGTACCTCCATCCAAATATGGTGTTGTTAATCAATCTTCCTCCATGAGAGACTTCTTAAATACATTTTTTGGCTTTAAAAAGAATTCTGGCTGTCATGTTACAAAATATGAGTATACAGAGGAAACCAGCAGTGATGGACAAATTTGCAATACTTGTTTATCTTCATTGAGGAAGGAAGCATCCTCCAACTTAGCTGTTGTGTTTTTCTACAGGTTCAACAGTAACCATGGCCCTAAGCATGGTGTTTTGAGCCAAGTGGTCAAGGCAAGGCAGGCCTCTAAATCAGGGACTGTCAAACTGGACTTCTTCAAGGGTTGGATCAGCACTGTAGTTCTCCTCCATGGGCCAGCCTAGGGGAGAAATGGGACAGATGACTCCTGCAGCACGCTGCCAACCAAAATGGGGCATGGGAGGCCCCTCAAGGCCCCTCCATGCCCCATTTTGGACCTTGACAGCCTCCTGAAGCAGCCTGCCAGCTAAAAAAAAGGTGCAGGGGGGAACGCGCAGCCCCATGCCCCATTTTGGCTGCCAGAGGAACCATTGGGCCGGTCCTTTGCTATTTCCAGACTGGCCTCATGGGCCAGATTTAAGCACCCCTGCTCTAGTTAGTCTTTTATTGCTCTCAATAAATGTTTCAGCAAATGGCCATCCAATGACCGGTAAGGCTCCACCCCATGCTATCCTGAAGGCAGTCCCCCTGTTATCAGGAAAGTCCACTTGGCAAAGTCCAGGCATAAGACAAATGGTAGTCGTCAGGGCAACGACAAGGTACAAGGCAAAGGCAGTTCTAAAGGTAAAGCAAAGAAAAGGGCAAAAGCAGTCCACAAGGCAATGGCAAAATAAACGCAGTCCTTAAAACAAAAAGCAACAAGCAGTTCTCAAATAAAGGCAAAAAGGCACAAATCAAAGTCAGGGGAGTGTAATCCAAAACAATTGTTCCTGGTAAAGACTATAACTCCCCATGGCTTCTCCTTAAATCACTCCACTCCAGGTGTTCCTTGTGAGGAGGATCAGGGCGACCTTCTCCCAAATAGCCTTGCAATGCTTCTCTGAGCTTGCCTACACTCCGTTCTTTTTAGCCCTTGGATCGAGTGATGGAAGCAGCTCTTCCTCATCAGAGGGGAGCTGCTGCCTCTCAGCACCACTGCTTGTCAGCAGCAGATCCTCCCCTGTGTCTGTGAAAGCAGGCAGCTTTCCGTCTAGTCAACCACCTTCCCCAATGCCTGTGGGACCTGGAACAACATCGTCCTCAGCCTTTCCAAACATGTCAAGAGAGATGTGCCATCCCTGTTGGATGGTCCCGGTTCTAATGCCTTCTCCGAACTGGGCTCCAATGGGGTCATGACACATGGTCCATCATCATCATCATCATCATCATCATCATCATCATCATCATCATCATCATCATCCTTTTCAGCAGGTGCAAGGTCTGCTTTTTTGGATCAACAAGTGCCATCATGTCATCAAGCACAATATCCAGATCTAACTGGGCTTTTTTCATGTCTGTGTTTATTGTAGCTTGCCATCTTTGCTTCAGCCTTCCACGTGATTGCTTTCCAGTTATATTAAAGTGGAAGGCGATATAGCAACAGTGTTGGTTACTGCTCGTAGTACATGACCATACCAGTATAGCCATTTCTCCAGCATTTTCTCTGACATTGGCATGGCCCCTATTTGCCTGGCCCTAAGCATGGTACAGTGTGAATATTTGCAGCATGGAATCTTCCCATATATACATGTAGGTTCCTCCATGGAGCATCCAGCAAAAAAATTCGATCCTCTCCCAGGGATGTATTTGAGAGACACTCCATCTCTCAGTCATATGCACATGTGCTTGAAGATGACAAGTCACATAAAATCAGATACGGAGCTTTAGATGACAGCCACATCACAACATAGGTATCATTTTAAATACCGGGGAGAACATCTTTGCACAATTTTATCTGAAATTTCATGAGACACATTTATGTTCTGATTGAGGGTGGGAAGGCAAGAGAGAAAATTCCCTTCCTTGGGAATAACATTGAAGCTAGGAATTGCATGTACATGCTGACAGTTTACGATGAACAAAACAAGATGGGATTTATGGCTACAGGTAGTGCTCAACTTATGACCACAATTGGACTGGAATTTCAGTTTCTATCTGATGCAGTTATTAAGTAAGTCATGGCCTGATTGTATGTCATTTTTACTGTGGTTGTTAAACAAATCATACAGTCCTTTCGTGAATCTGGCTTGCATTGCTGATTTTGTTCCCAAATCCCAATAGGGGTGAGATGCCACAGAGATAACATTGAAGACGTGTTATAAGTCACTTTGGGGGGGGGGGTTGTCATTGTATCTTTGACCTGTCATTAAACAGTCATAAGCCTCTAGGATTACCTGTACTGCTTTGCGCAATATATCTCTAGGAAAGTTTTGGTCTGTATTTTTGTGCCTGAAATAAATAGGGAGTTTGAGCAAGTAACTGAAAAAAACTGATTATATGCCATCAAGTTAGTGTGGATTCTTAGCAACCACATAGCTAGCTGAAAAATTAATACTACACTGAAATCTACTGTCTAGTTTCCAAATGATTCCTCCACCAAATGAAAAAGCTGTTGCTTGTTTGATCTTTCTCATTCACCTTTAAAAGTTCCTTAGGAATTTCTGTGGATGGTTTTTAAAGTTTATTTCTTCATTTAAAGAAAGCAAAAAGTGCTACTCTTTCAGTTTCCTTCCTTCCCTGTTGCACCCTTTCCCTAGTTGTATCAACATTTCTGAGTATCAGTCTAAGTAGCTTGTAGTAAGGTAAAAGTGTGCAAATAGTTTTTAACAAGTTTTAAATTGTTGCATAAATACTCTAAATAAGCCACATTAAAATTATTGCTATTGAGACAGATGTTGATTTTGTGCAAAGTTGGTATTAATGTATTTTAAACTTTCATTATGCTTATTAAATGAAAGGGAAGCTAAAACTGACAAAGCATAATTATATATTTTTTTAAAAAATATTATACTTTAATACCACCTCTTCCATAGCATATATGCTTGAAACTCAGGAATAAATGAAAATGAAAAACTGCTTCCCATCGATATGAGAATTCATGTTCATTGATATTCATAAATATGTTATTAATTTCATGTAATGGAACTCATTGTGTTTCTGGATAATTGATTCTGCTACTTCTGAATTAAGAATTTAAGGTAGGTGAGGAATAGGTTAGTCTTACAATAGAATGTATCAGCGTGGAATTCCTCTACTTATAAACTCCATTCCATATCACTCTCCCTTCTCCATGTTTTCCCTCTGTTCCAACAGTTAGCAGTTCCAGCTCTATTGCTCATGCATGGCATCATTTGATGTGTTTTGGGTTCATCTACAGACAGTTGAATTCTGCTGCTACTTTACTCTTGTGTGTGGATTGTGCTGTCGCATTAGGCAGACATTTTTTTTCCACAATTGTGAAAGAGTTAGTTTAAAAAAGAAAGAAAGGAGGCAAATGACAAGGAGGCAAACTGCAGGCTAAAGGCTTAGGAATTATGGTCTACTTTAAATAAATAGATGACAATTTTGATCTACGTTTCAGAGAAGGCTTTGAACAACAGGAGTTTCAGAGCTTAGGGGGTGGGGTTGAACTTCAGTCAGAATCAGTAAAAGCAGCTCCTTGTCTTGATCTTTTTTTTTTTTTTTTTGGCAGCCTGTCTTAATAGCTCCTCCTTGAGGAATCAGTCTGCAATATTGTGTCCTGTTCTGGGAACTACAGTTCAAAAAGGACAATAACAAATTGG